AGTATCTTTTAGATTTTAATATTGTATATCAAAAGAACTGAGATTCTGTTTGTTGTTCAGGTTCTCAGCTTTAGGTAAACCGAAACAAGATTCAGATAGTCAGAAGAAAATATGGGACATGGTAGGGATAATGATCGTGCTTAATTCAAAGCTCCTTACCTACACACTCACTCATTGGGTGTAACAACAGCTTTAGCCCCTAGAATAACCATATACTGCTCATTGCCCATCCCAGTGTAGACTCCCAGACTCTGTACAGCAGCACCAGCTTCATTCTGTTCACAGTTCACAGTATATGTCTATCAGTATGACCTTAGCTGCTGTATCCTTCAGTGACAGCACACTGTCCAAAAGTAGTATCACCCCACTGCACCCTGTCTGTCCTTCAGTGGTATCTATTTATACCGCCTCTAGACAAAAGTAGCATCTGAACAAGGATGATCACAGAAAGCTGCACATGCACACTTAGTCTCAAGGCTACAAACAGAGTTATCAAAGACAGCATTTGCTTGAAGCAAAATTATGTAGATATGCTGAACCAGCTGAGTCCTAGTCCTTGGGAAGTACAGGCTCAAAGCCCTCTAGAAGCTATGGTAAAGAAAGGTTGATTTAGTCCATTTATCCTACACTGTATTACAAAGATTCCTACTAACACACAGTGATAACACAAGTAATATTTATCTATAACAAGGGGGAAAAGGAAGATTAAAAACTATTATTAAAAGTTCTTTTGTTCTGGTCCTGGGGCTAGAACTCAGGGGCTGGGCATTATTACTGAGCTTTTATCTTCAAGGCTAGTGCTTTATCACTTGAACCACAGCTCCACTTCTGGCTTTTTGCTGGCTAACTGGAGCTAAGTCTCATAGACTTTCTTGCCCAGGCTGGCTTTGAACTGTGATCCTCAAATCTCAGCCTCCTAAGTAGCTAGGATTATAGGTGTGAGCCACCAGCACCCAACTTCTAAAAAACATATAGGTATTAAAATTGGAAACTTTGGAGGGGGGGTAATTGGGATTTAAACCCAAAAGCCTTGTTGCTCAGCTAGTGTTCTTCCACTTGAAATATGCCTCTAGACCTGCCTTTGCTGGTTATTTTGAGATGAAATCTCACATAATATTCTACCTGGGCTGACTTCAAACTATAATCTTTGGTCTTAGCCTCTTAAGTTGCTAGGAATATGGTGCAAACCACTGGTTCCCCATCTTGGAAATTTTTTTTTTTTTTTGTCGGTCGTGGGGCTTGAACTCTGGGCCTGGGCGCTGTCCCTCAGCTCTTCAGCTCAAGGCGAGTGCTCTACCACTTGAGCTACAGCGCCACTTCCGGTTTCTGGTGGTTTATTGGAGATAGGAGTCTCACGGTCTCTCCTGCCCGGGCTGGCTTTGAACTGGGATCCTCAGATCTCAGCCTCCTGAGTAGCTTGGATTACAGGCATGAGCCACCAGCGCCCGGCCCCATCTTGGAAATTTTTAAGCAGTGCTGAGGATCAAAATCAGGGCCTTGCACATGTTGGAAGTACTCTACCAGTGAGACTGATCCCCAGCTCTTTAAAGTACTAAAATTAAAAAAAAAAAATCAAGGAGCTGGGAAGGTGGCTCAGTGGTAGAGCGCTTGTCTTGCATGCCTGAGGCCCTGGGTTCAATTCCTCAGCACCACATAAGTAAAAAGAAAAAAGCCGGAAGTGGCACTGTGGCCCAGGCCCAGACCCCACGACCAGACCCCCCCCCCAAAAAAAAATAAATAAAAACTAGCTCAGTGCTGGCAGGGATGCAGAGAAAGAGGAACCCTATTGCATTGCTGGTGGGAATGTACACTAATACAACCATTTTGGAAAGCAGTCTGGAGGTACCTCAGAAAGCTAAATAGAGACCTCCCCTATGACCCAGCCATCCCACTTCTAGGTATCTACCCTGAGCAACAGGAACCAGGATACACATGCACCTCCTGTTCACTGCAGCACTGTTCACAAATAGCCAAGTTACGGAAACAACCCAGATGTGCCACTACAGATGAATGGATCCAAAAATTATGGTACCTATATACAATGGAATATTATGCAGTTATTAGAAAGGACAAAATAATGGCATTTGCAAGGAAATGGATGGAACTAGAACAAATCATTTTGAATGAGGTAAGCCAAGATCAGAGAGACAAATGGCACATGGTCTCCTTGATATATGGATGTTAAATTCAAAAATGCAAGGAGAGCTGGGCACTGGGGGCTCATGCCTGTAATCCTAGCTACTCAGGAGGCTAAGATCTGAGGATCCAGGTTCAAAGCCAGCCCAGGCAGGAAAGTCTGAGACTCTTATCTCCAATTAACCACCAGAAAACCAGAAGTGGTGCTGTGGCTCTAGTGGTAGAACGCTTGCCTTGAGCTGAAGAGCTGAGTGACAGGGCTCACAGTTCAAACCCCCCGCCCCCACGAGTGACAAAAATAAAAATAAAAATGCAAGGAGATATGACAAAGTAAACAGTACTCAAGAAACAAAGGACCTCTACTTAATTTGTAGTATTATTTCTAAATGAGTCCATGTTCTTATATATATGTATGTATATATATGGCAGCAATGGGAGGGAGGGAATGAAAGGGAAAGAAGGAACAGCTGACACTAAGCAAAAGGAAAGAAATGTACATATCACCCAATGTGGAAGAAATAGTTGTATTGTCAAAGATCATAGACTTCACAAACTTTATAGACCATGATAATGTCAATTTGCCTTGTGAAGGTTAAAATGTGTTTGTGATCTTAACTAAGTATCACTCTCCCACAATACTATGAAATTTATGTAATCTCAATAAAACTATTTTTAGAAAAAGTAGCTCAGGTAGTTCTGAAATATTACTTCCTTGTCATTCAATCCTAAATTACTTAATTAGCTGCTTTTTTTTTTTTTTTGCGGGTCCTGGTGCTTGAACTCAGTGGGACTGGGCATTATCCTTGAGCCTCTCTGTGCTCATGGCTAGTGCTCTACCACTTGAGTCACAGTGCCACTTCTAGCTTTTTCTGTTATGTGGTGCTAAGAAATCGAACCAGGGCTTCATGCATGGGAGGCAAGCATTCTAAATTTTGAAATATGAAATAGTCTCTGATCAGATGTACATATTCTATAGAAAGAACTGTAATCCTGACATAAAACAAACTATTCATAAAAGTTAAATCTAGAGTTTGACAAAAAATCTATAATACACTTCCTAAATGTTTAATATAACATCTAATATGTCTTGGGAACTGTTCTGGGAAAGGGAATACATTAGTGAACAAAATTAGTAAACAAAACTTTCTGCTTTACATAGCTTTTATTCTAGTAAATGTAAATATATACAATTTGAATTATCTGTTTTGTCCTTTTAAAATATAAACAAATTACTATTAGGTAGAAGAAAGTTTTAACACCAAACACAAATATGTTTATGTTTCATAGCAGCAATCTATTATTCAATCACATAATTTGAGAAACTTATAATACAAAGATACACTAGCTAATAAGTTACAAATATTAGCAAATCAAGATCTTTCCAGAGAATATGAGCAAGTTCAGGTGTCTTAAAATGTCTGCCTAACCCGGGTGCTGGTGGCTCACACTTGTAATTCTAGCTACTCAGGAGGCTGAGATCTGAAGGTCCCAGTTCAAAGCCAGCCCAGGCAGGAAAGTCTGAAACTCCTATCTCCAATAAACCACCAGAAAAGTAGAAGTGGTGCTGTGGCTCAATTGGTAGAGTGCTTGCCTTGAGCTGAAGCACCCAGGCCCAGAGTTCAAGCTCCATGACCAAAAAAAAAAAAAGTCTGCCTAAGTGATCTGTCTGGAAAGGGAAACATAGGCTAGATTTTAAATAAGTATACTAGATTTCAGATAATTCTTAACAAATCTTAACTCATATTCCCAAACCAAAGAACTGAAATTATGCAGATATAAGAACTGTGGAGACAAGAAAGCATTAGGCATAACAGAAGCGATATTTTAATTATCTAGGATCCTAAAGTCCAATACCACAGGTACTAGCCACCTATGATTAGTTAACTCTGAATTAACTAAAAATGCAGCTCCTCAGTCACAGCAAGCAACTGTGCAATAGCTTGTGGCTACTACATTGGATAGTACAGCTATAAAAAGTTTCCTACATAGCAGAAAATTCAATTGGACAGCACTGTCCTAGAGAATCAAAAAAGAGGTAAATCACATCTGGAAAAAAAAAACCCACAAAAAACAGAAACGCTAAACAGCGTTGGAAAAAAGGCTTCTAAGGACAAAAAAAAAAATCTCTCCTCCATCCCAAGGATATTTTCATTCTTGTATCTTTTCTCTCATATCCTAGAAAAATCGATTCCTCTGCTGTTAATTCTTTCTTGCCCTGTTTCCTCACATTCTCCCCAGGCCCCGATTTCCCCATTCCTAACCTCTCTTCTCTCACTACTTTTTCTAGCAAGAAATATGATGTACACGTTGGAGGGTTTTTTAAAAAATTTAAAAGTCTGAATATTAAAATATAAGGAACGGAATAAGCATTAGCTCTAACTGCTTCCCGCAAAATAGGCTATTTAGAAGGGTACATTTTTAAAGCTTTGCGACTTTCAGCGTATTTCCCTGCCCAGAGATCCTTATCCTTTCATAGAAAGGGTTTCTCACCATAGGAATCCCGGGTGAAAGACATGCAATTCAAGTTCCGGCCTCTGGGGCTCCCCTCTGTGGAAGAAGAGCTCCCTCCGTCCAGAAGTGAAGTCCGCGCGGGACTGAGTTCTGCGGTCGGTCCGCTGAGCCCCTGCTGTCATCTAGTGGCGAGAAGGGACAAGGGCTCCTTCGCCCCAGCAGTTGCCAAGCGACGGAGGCAGTGAGGCGCGGGGGGCCCAAGGAAGATGGCGCAGAACGAAGGATGCTGCCCGGGCTGCAACAATCCCGCTTCCTATTGGCTGCAGCGTCTCCGTTATTGCCACGAGCCAATGATCAGCTAGAGATCGATGACGTCAGACGCCGTGGACTCAGGCTCTAGCAACGCGTCTGGAGACCGCGGAGTCCCGTGTTCCGCCGTTCCTGCACCTCGATTTCCTCATGAACACCCCTCGGCTCGAGCTGCTGTGGTTGTACTTCTTGATCCTCCCTGAGGGCGCCCGGTTACAGCCCTCTTTCTCCCCGTCAGGGACATTGCCCACCTCCTCAGTCCTGGGCCCGGTGACGCAGGGCGGGACTCCACAGCCCTCCTTGGAGAATGCCACTCTCGGGGAAGTGCCTGGGCTTCTCAGCACGGCGGGCCCTTCTCTTGCGACCTCCGCGGCGCCCGCGAACTGGACCGCCGACCTCTTCCCAGGTGAAGGGAACAGTTGGGGAAACTGTGTAGACTTCAAAGATGCGCGATTCCGTAAGATTGACTCACCGCGAAGGGAGGGGAGTGGGACAACTAGAAGGGGACGGGCTTAGTTTGGAAGAGTTGGGGGGAAATCTTACCTCGCTCTACTTTTGTACTTTCGTAGTCCTACCGATCTGTGTCTGTGACTTGACACCTGGTACCTGCGATCTAAATTGCTGCTGCGATAGAGATTGCTATCTTCTCCATCCCAGGACTGTGTTCTCGTTCTGCCTTCCAGGCAGCGTCAGGTAAGCTGCAGTACCCAGAAAGAATCTTAAAGAGGGCAGGTCCTAGAATGTGTAATATTTGGAAATAAAAAGATAAGCTACTGTACTTCCTATCCCCTATTTGTAAGGTGTTCCTTGTTTTTTGTTTTTGTTTTTCTCAAGGAGTGATCCTTTCTGATTCTCTAAAACAGCTATAGTAGAATAGACTTGGGTTGTTTCATTGTAGCTTCCCAAGGAGCCTCTCTGGTGAGGACCACTCTTAAAGAAAATTTCTTTAAATAAGACACTCGTAAAGATCTACATCTTCTCCTAAATGTACGTTCTTCGTCTTTCTTCACAGGTCTTCAAGCTGGGTGTGTGTAGACAACTCTCTTATCTTTAAGAGTAATTCTCCATTTCCTTCGAGAGTTTTCATGAATTCAAATGGAATCAAGCAGTTTTGTGTCCATGTGAACAACTGTGAGTAGAAGCATCGTTGGTTGCTCTTACCTAACGTTTATTGAGAAGTGACTTTGTCTTTGCACTTTCCCTTGATTCATTCTTTCTTAAATATTTTGTTTTTGTTCTTTCTCTTAAATTCTGCTTCTCATCCTACCTTTTCCTATATCCAATCTATTAGAGGACCTTTGCAATTTCTTAGGCTTTTGGTCAGATAACAAATAGTACTTGAATTTAATACTTTTTTTTTTGTCAGTCATGGGGCTTGAACTCTGGGCCTGGGTGCATCCCTGAGCCCTTCAGCTCAAGGCCTGCACTCTACCACTTGAATCACAGCACTACTTCTGGTTTCTTGGTGGTTAATTGGAGATAAGAGTCTCAGGGATTTTCTTGCCTGGGCTGGCTTTGATCCTCAGATCTCAGCCCCCTGAGTAGCTAGGATTACAGGTATAAGCCACTGTCACCCAGAATTTAATACTTCTAATCATCCCTTTTAACTCTGATAATCATAGAATGTATCCTCCCCAACTTGCTACACTCTCCAAAGGTTTCTGAACAAGGAAGCCAGCATAATGCTATGTTTTGGATTGGTTCATATAACAAAGTGATTCTCCATGGCTGGCTGTGATGTGAATGCCTGCTCTGTGTATGTGTGAGACAGGTAGAGAAATGACCATAAGCTTTTTCCTTTAAAAAATAATTCACTTTATTGTTATTATAAAGGTGTACAGAAGGAAGTGTACCCATTACCTGACTCAGGTCATTGTAATCCCTCTCTACATTATTTTTTCCTTTTGTACAAACACAAGTCCAGCTCCCCAGCCTCATTCTTCCTTGTCCAAAAAGCTCATTTGACTTTACTACCTGGAGAATAATGTCCGGCTTCTTTGCCTGCAAGTCAGTGCGCTCTCATATTTGAGCTAACTCTTTTTTCTACTCACTGTCACTCACTCTCTACATTTCACCTTCTGTTCTGGCCAAATTCAACTTCTCATTGTCCTCAAGCCATTGCATTTCCCCCAAGTTTGTGTTTTCTTTTCTTCTTGACTCACATATTCCTCTTTCTCGTTGCATTTTAAAATGTGTAACTCTTCCAAGAATCCACTCTTGTTCATCATCCTCAAAAGTTCTGATACATTTGTTGTTTTAAGTTCTCTTGGAATGTATAGGATTTCTTGTATTGTTGCCAGTTCATGGTAGACCATATTTTCAAAGGTATGATATTAGCACCTCAAAGGGACAAACCATATCTTTATTTGCCCACAGTGCATGGATGTTGAGAAATGTTCTTTTTTCCCCCCATTTTCTGTGGTTTTGCTTTTGTTGTTGTTATTGTTGCTTTTTAAGGTCACCCAAGCAAGCACAGAACTCATAATGCTCCTACTTTAGCCCTCAATGCTGGGATTACAAACTTGCACTCCTTGCCTGACAATGAAGGTTATCTTAGTTTTGTTCAGAAACCTTTGTATAGTTATTTTTTAAAGTGGTAATAGGATTTGAACTCAGAGCCTGTGCTTACTAGGCAGATACTTTACCACTTAAGCTACACCCCCCCCACACCCTTTGCAGTTTTAGTTATTTTTCAGATAGAGTATCCATTTTTTTTACCTAGGCCAGCTTGGACTGTTATACTCTTTCTCTGGACATTTTATTTTGTTTACATTATTTTCTTCTTAAAATTAAAAAAATTACCTTTAGTTGTATAAAGTAATATCTGTGCATTTTAAAATTCCTGTTTAGGGTGGGGGGAGTGGGGAGGTTTGGGTGGGGAGGGGGGAGGTTGGGAAAGGATGGGAAGGGCAAACAAAGGAGGAGGCTACAATGTCTGATAAGAAATGTACTCATTATCTTGCCCATGTAATTGTAACCCCTCTGTACAGTATTTTCACAATAAAATGAAAAAAAAGAAAAAGATAAAATTCCTGTTTACCATCACTCCCACCAGTATATCTGAGCTGAAGTGAGAGAGAAAATGTTAACTTTGTCTTACTGATTTAAGCTATGAAAAAAATATTTACCATCCCACCTAGCTCTCCTATTAATTTGTGCTTCAGTTTAACTTTTAATTATAATGATAGAAATAACTGCATCTTTTATGAAGTTGATATGTCCTCCTCTGTGGTTTTCAGACTATAAATTCCAAAGGAAATGTTAAGCAGCTCCTGGAAGCTTTGGCTCCTTGATTTCAGGTCATAGGTGGAAGGTGGTCTACAGAACAGCAACATCAGCATCACCTGTTTCAGAGCAGCACTGCTTTTTCAAACGCTAATATACATGTGTGTCACTTAGGAATTTTGTCAACATGATTCAGACATCACCTAGAGATTGTGTTAGCATGATCCAGACTCAGGAGATGTGAGGAATGGCCTGAGTGTACATATTTCTGACAAGCTCCAGATGACACTGAAGTTGTTAACAGTTAACAGTAGCATGATCTAGATGTATAAAGAATGAATACAAAAAGCACAGGGCGGGGATGGGGGGGCCTGGGAGTGTGGCTTAGTGGTAGAGTGTTTGCCTTGCATGCATGAAGCCCTCGGTTCAATTCCTTAGTAGCACATAAACAGAGAAGTCTGGAACTGGTGCTGTGGCTCAAGTGGTAGGGTGCTAGCCTTGAGCAAAAGAAGCGCAGGGATCCTGAGTTGAAGCCCCAGGACTGGCAAAAAAAAAGAAAAAAGGATGAATAGTCTTGAGAGGCCCCAGAATTGAGAGCTGTGTTCATTTTGTGCTATCAGAAAGCTGAAGAGTCATAAATGAAATGTGTTGTAGACAAAAGTCGAGCCTTTTTTGGTGGGGAAGGCACTTGGTGTCTAGGGTTTTTAACTAGGCAGGTATTCTACCTAAATGAAACATTTAGCCATGTTTCAATCCTTTTGCTTTTATCAGATAGCATCTCATACTTTTTGCCTAGCCAACTTCAGACCATGATCCTCCTACTTCTACTGCCTCAGTGTCTAGTACTACTGTGTACACCATCATACCTAGCCCAAAGTGCCAAACTTATTTCGTGTAGAAGCATCATTTGCTTTCAATGATTTGGGTCTCATTATCTTTTGATTGTCCAAGTGACATACTTAATACAAAAAATAAAACTAGCATGGAGCCTGTTTTTGCTTGGAGTGGTAAACCCAGTGTTACTTGCCATTCATTGGACTCTGGGCACGGGACAGCAACAGGATCTTTTTCCTCTTCCAAGAAAAATGAAAAGTACAGCTCAAATACTATCTTTAACTTTGCCTTGGTCCTATGGAAACAGTATAATTTTCTTTTAATCAGTCATCTGGTAAGGGTCAAATACCACCATTGCCGAGTTTCCTTTTTTCACAAATTGTTAATCACACACATTCTTGGCTATAAGAGACTAAGAGCTGACTGACATTCATTCAGTGACTGTTTATTTACTTAGATCCTCATACTAAGACATTCAGTTAATAGGTTATCTATAAAGAAGATGTTCATATCAATAAATCTGAATTTTATCTCTAGAGATGGGATACTAATTTGGAATCTTTCAGGGAAATGTTCTAAAACTTGATCTGGATGCTATCATAATGCAAGTATATGTATTTATAAAACAACTTTGACTATATTTTAGTCATTTTCACACGTATATTATACTTAAATAATTTTTTCATATTGTTTGGCATGCTATGTATTTAAACGTAAATGCTTTTGTTTTTAACTAAACTTCTTTCTTTTGAAAAATATTGCAGCAAAATTAAACTATTTCCAGAAGCTCCAAAAGGTCAATGCAACCAACTTCCAGGCCCTAGCTGCAGAGTTTGGAAGCAAATCATTTACTTCAACATTGCTACCTCAGCCACAACTCTCTTTTTATAGGGTGAGCCTGGGAAGGGAATTCCCATTGTTTGTTTTTGGTTTTCCTATCATAGTAAACAATGGTCATTGTGTCTTTGTGCTGCCTCCCTAGGATGTGGTAAACCATTCCTGGCTCTTTAGAGGATACTTCTGTCATTGTAAACAAGCCATTTAGTTTACTTTGTTTGTCATTGCTGGTTTATTTCAATCCATTCTCACTGAAAAACTGTGTTCTACAGGCTGGGGATCCCATTCTGACTTACTTCCCCCAGTGGTCTATAGTAAGCTTACTGAGGCAGCCTGCGGGAGTGGGAGCCGGAGGACTCTGTGTTGAGAGCAATCCTGCAGGTGGGTCCAGGGCAGAAGTGCCAGCCTTCTTACTCAATTTAAAACAGACTTTCTCATTTACTACCATGTTCATTCTTTGTGTTGTAAGGTTTCCTAGAGAGTAAAAGTACAACCTGTACTCGTTTCTTCAAGGACCTGGCCAGTAGCTGTACCTCAGATCCAGCCTTGGATGCTGTCTCCTACTATAATTTCACAGTCTTGAAGGTGGGTGTGCTGCTGTTCTCACCTTGTCACCATCATGAATTTGTAGTCAACATGCTACCCACTATTGTGATTGTGGAAAATTCACCAACTGAAAGTCAGACTTCTCAAGAGCTACATAAAAGGCAGAAGGCCTGTCATCGGAAAAAGATGAGTTGAGGATATATATTTGTGTACATGTATATTTATGTATATATATATGTATATATTATATATGTGTGTATATATACATATGTATATATATATATACATATGTACCTATATAGCTTAAAGTTCTGACACTTTAGTGTAAGGAAGAATTAGGAATGTAAGAAAGAGAGCAAGCAGTTCCAGTATTTTGATTGTTCCTACAATCTAACATCAAAGTACATTGGTAGTAATCTGAAACTACAAGCTCATGGTGACTTCATGTATATCCATGTCTCCATTGTTCTCTTTTTCTAGGTGCCCAAAAATATGACTGATCTTCAGAATATGAAGGTATGATGCCATTTAGCAGGGAAAAGGAAAAAGAATATTGTAACTAAAGCAATTTCAGTCTGTATTTTAATGATGTAAGAAATGTAAGTCTGATGCATCATAGTGAAATGTGGATCTAAAACAGTGCTTTACAAAGAGCAGTCCAGCCGGGCGCTGGTGGCTCACGCCTGTAATCCTAGCTACTCAGGAGTCTGAGATCTGAGGATCGCGGTTCAAAGCCAGCCTGGGCAGGAGAGACCGTGAGACTCCTATCTCCAATAAACCACCAGAAAACCCGAAGTGGCGCTGTAGCTCAAGTGGTAGAGCGCTTGCCTTGAGCTGAAGAGCTGAGGGACAGCGCCCAGGCCCAGAGTTCAAGCCCCACGATCGACAAAAAAAAAAAAGAAAAAGAAATATGGAAATTGTCAGAAGCTCTGTGTTTTCATTATAGCCTGAATTGCCATTTGTGAAAATG